CTCTGGAAACTTCAGGGTTGGGGGGGAGGTGTGGTTAATACATCCTAGGTCACTCTGAAACAGGAGACACGCCCAAACCCAGCTGTGGGACAGAGCAAGCAAGCACCATACATCTTGACCTGCACCCACATGCCCCGTCCTACACCTCATGCCCAGGCTCACACTCCCCTGGTGACATCCAGAACCACATATAGACACTGAGACCTTAAAGGTGCAGCCAAAAACCAGGGCAGAGACCAGCCCATCGTCCTCCAGTGTCTACAGCTGGGACACAACTGGAGCATGAAAGAAATCAAGGGCCTCCTAGCCATCTGGGGTGAGGAGGAGTCCCAGCAGCAGTGCCACATCATGCACTGCAACAAGTTGAAGTACCAGAAGATTACCAAGAAGATGAGAGTGAAGGGCCGCAACCAGAATAAGAAGCAGTGCAGGGGCAAAACCAAATTGATGAAGGCCCACTTCAAGAAGACAGTCAATACCAACAAGACCTCCGGACACAAAGGACACCCCATGCCCTTCTATGAACAGCTCTCCCATATTCTTAAGAAGGAAAGTGGCTTGACAGTATACACCTACAGCAGCAGTTGGCACATGAGGACCCTGGGGAGAGAGGGGAGCTGGGGGTACATGTGCACCTCTCTGGGGGGGCATAGGGGAACCAGGAGTTGCATTGCAGCTGGAGCTAGATTTCAGCTCCCTCAACCTGTTCATGAGCAGCAGGGCCCCAGGCACTGAGGGGCAAGACATGGGGCACAGTTCGCACAGCATGATGATCTTCACACAGGACAAGTGCCTTAATCCTCTGCTGTACATGTCACAGATAGCTCTAGGATATGCACCTGTTCCCCAACATAACAGCACTCAGTGGTTCCCAATGGCAAGGACGAGCCCATGATCATGTATCCCCCTGCTCAGGGGCAAGTAACTAGTGAAGGCTTCATTTCTTAAGCATGCTAAGGTGACATAGCAGAAACAGGCATTGGGGTCCCTTTGCTGTGCCCCACTAAAGGTATGGGAGGCAGCTAGGAAGGTGAGGCTGGGGACATGTGAAAAGGCATAGTTACTTGGAGTGCTGGCACATTAATACCTTAGTGAACAGAAAGGGTTCCCCCCACATCCCTAATGAGAGGCACTGTTGAGAAGGGAAGATCCACGTGGAGAGAAAGAGGTGCATCCAGCTGATGCTGGAATGGAGGTGGTTCTGAGGTCAAAGTCCAGAGTGGCTTGCAGGCAGGTCTTGAGAGGTCCAGTCCTCAATAATAATGTAAAGTCTACGGTTTTGAGGCATCTGTGATCCTCACAGGAGAAACAGTCAATGAACAGGACTCTCAAAATACCATGCAGCCCAAACCTGTCCCAGAAAGCACTTCTCCCCTTCTCCCTCTTCAGTGTCCAGAAGAACACATAGCAACCCATCCCCTGAGATCCAGCACTCCCTGTTGAGTCAGGACACATTGATTGTGGAGTAGCCTCCTGGGAGCTGACGATGGTTCAGGAACAAAGAAGGGGGTTCAGGGCAGATGTCTTCCCCTTGTGTCCTCCCCTTGCCATGCCAGAGACCCACAAGGGAGCCTGCCCCACTCCGAGACTGAGCCCTGTTTATCAGGATCACTCCAGCCCCAGCAGGTAGAGGAACATGTCAATTCTGGTCTAAGGCCATGAGGCACACCTCCCCACCAACTGAATGTGGTCAGGGATCCCACAGGTGGGGTCCCTGGAGAGGAATAGGGGGATCCAGATTGCTATGGTAACACACTCACTAGAGTCAAGGGACGCCTTAGGCCACCACTCTATGATTGGGGTCAGCTCAGTGACATTATCCATGAAGGTGACCCAGCACATGCAACAGTTTTGCACCCACTGTTCATTGCCCCAGGGGTACAGGACAATCCACCCCAACCAGCTACTGCTCATCTTGCAATGGTCAGTGGTCTAGGGGTGCTCCTCAAGCACACTGGACTACATAGAGGGCATCATCTTTATTGGCCAGGTGGAAGTTGTTGACCACATCCAGGGGGTTTGGTGTCCTGAAGGTCTGGTAAGTGGGCTTGTGTGGCAGGTCAGTCTCCTGAGCTCTACACAGAAGTGTGTGCCAGTATGATCATCTGTCAGGTCAGCTAGAAACAGGCATGCAAAATGTACCTAAGTCTCTGTCAAGACAGGCACAGAGTGATAATGATGTTGTGGTGCAGATCCTGGGTATGCTGGCTTTTGTGAGACAGGCAGTGATACAGAGCAGGGTGCAGGAACAGCGAGTGATACGTTTACAACTAACAAGAGAGGGGACATGCTCTGGGTCTCTTCTCTAGAAGCCTCTGAGCGGGGAGGGAGCAAGGCTTCCCGTAAGCACGAGGTCCTCAGTGCCCTGTGGCACTGTGGCCGGGCTGTGCTGTGCACTCAGCTTCTCTCAGCAATCCCCAGTAGCCAGAGAAGCCCAAAGACCATGCTGGGATGCATGCACAGGAGTCTCCTGGCTGTGGCTCATCTCCAGTGCAGGCTGTCTGAGCAGCTCATGCCCTGATCACTATATGCTTGTACACTGCTCTACTAGTAGGGGTTCCAAACACAGAAAATAAATCACCGAGTTTCCACCAGTTGACTTGAATGCTTGCACACACCTTTAAGCATTCAATAGAGTAAAGCCTTGGAGTATTCCAGAGCACATTTTTAACTCTTAATTAATTTACTGGATTGTATCAGGCAAGCCCTTTCCAAAAACCCTAGCATAGCTGAAGTCCAAGATTTTACCTCAAAAGGGATGTCATTCATCATGTAATATTCAGCATGACAATTTAAAATATTAACAAATAACATTAAGAAACATTAATTCCTTCAGGCTTCTAAGAAAGAAGCCACTAGCCACTCTTGTCCTCACAACAATTCTTCTACATATTCCTTAAGGATTGTTCTACTGACAGTACGGGTGCACACATATTACAACTTAGCACTAGTTATACTCTGACAGGCAAAAATAATTAAACTTGTTGAATTTTTCAGGAGATTTTGCTCCCACAATTCCCAGCTGGACAGAATGAAGACCACATTGTTTCCCATGTGTGGCAGTCTCTTGACCATTGCTTTTCTAGGGTAAGGGTAATAAAGTTAGCCCTAGGGGAATGCAAGGATTCAAACAATTTCATAGTTTCTGGAGCCTTGTTGCTAGCTCAAAAGGGTCACAACCAGAAGAAAATACCAGACATGAACAGAGAAGCACAACTACTAACTCGTCAAAAATAGAGTATCATACAGGAAGGGTATGTATTCAGGACAAAAGGCTTGATTCTAAACTCACTTAAATAGTCTTATTTTTTTATATCAGTATAATCCCACTGGACTTCAGTGACAATACTCCTCATTGCATCATTGTATCCTAGCCATATAACTGTGTGTGACAAGAAAGTAAAGTCCAAGTTAAATATTTAACTGTATATGCCATTTAGGGCTTAAGGCTCACTGAATTTTCTCCAAACATATATTCAAGTATCCAAATATAAAAGGAATTAATTCCCAAATTAGCAAATACCCTTCAAGAGGCATGTTACACCTCTGGCTAAATACTGCTGTCAAAACAATGTGCTGTTAATGCATTCTTCACCAAAGCCTGGAAACAACCAGACACAATTTCAATTACTCATACCTCTCAACTTACAACAATGTCCTCTCAGCCTGAACAAGCCATTCAAGGGTACTTTTCAGTGTCAGGTGGAGCACTAGATGCCCAGTGTTTCCTTTCTTTAAAGGGCCACAAGTGTTATAAAAAAAGTGCATGTAAAACTGCAGGCTCCCCTTCTTGGGAAAAAAAGGAAAGATAGATGCAAAGTCAGTCAGAGATCAGCAAAATCCCTCTCTCATGCAGACTGCTGAGTTAATGGAAGGGAAGGAAGAGGGAAAGATTCAAATCACTCTCATATTGGGAAAATAAGCCCTGTGTTGTTCAATAACTCTAAGGCTTCTCACTGGACAATCCCAGGATTCCTGTACGTCTGCAAATGCAGTAAACATTGTATCACATTATACTTCCTAAACACCAGAAACTTTGATTCATATACAACGTGGCGCAGGCTTTCAGCATGGGAATTCTTTTCATTATATATGTTTTCTAGATTGCAATTCTCATGTAGCATTGAGAATCAATGGTCCTTTTTGTTTGCTTGCTTTTAAAACAACAAGCTCTTAAACAAATCTTTACATGCATTTTTATAAATAAAGATTTTTTGACAAAAACAAGTATCCTCATATGTAAATATGAATTTGCATGCACAGATAGATAATTAAATATGAAATCATATGCTTGGGCATGCATATAGCTACATGTGCAACTACCTGCTGCTGACCACTCATTAATATCTTACAGGTACCAAGTTATTTCTATTGTATATTATAGTATGGAAGGTTTAAAAACTGAAAGTAAAAAAACCTTCATGAACGTTCCATAAAAATGTAGATAGTAATAGTATGTGAGATCTGTGAAGCAAAGGGTACAAGATGGCTTGGGTCCTGTGAATACAAGGCACAACCTCTTTTGATACCCTTCTAAGACAGCCGAAAGTAGCTGTGGCATCAGATCCTTAGATTTTTGCACTCTGGGAACTGAATGCAGGGCATTTCCAGAAGAAAGTCCGTAGCCCTGGTGTCCTCTTCTCATTGGGGTCTGACAGGGCATGAGTTGGACTAGATACAGGGTATGTTTCCAGCTGTGTTCTTTCATGGCTTCTCCAGAGAGAACAGATTAAATGGAGAGAGATTTTAGGTGGAAGCTAGGAGTTATTGGTAATTTTATATCAGTCTAGATTATTTCTAATTGTGTCTTTAAATTTTTATGGCAACTTATCCCAAAGAGAGAGAGAGAGAGAGATAAAAAGGGGGAGAGAAAGAGAGAAATTTACTATATAAAATGAGTAAATAAATAATGAGGAGCATCTGTACCCAACTTAATAACAGGATTTTGAAATAACTCTAGTGCACAAACACTGAAATTCAGATTTGATTAACACACTTACCTGATAAACTCCACAGTGTAATACTGGATTGGAGAACTTCCTTCACTGATTCCAGGCTTCCATGAGAGTGCAACCTCTGAATCAGAAACCACAATGACCTGAGGCTGGCAGGGTGGTTCTGGGGGCATGCATTTATCTAAAATGAAAGAATTGCACATGGCCAGCATTAGAAAACTGGATAGATTTTTGTGGACACAAAGCTCACCTGTCCATAATTCTGAAACATTTGCTTTTTTACTACAAAAAGATTATTTGTATAGAAGCATAATGCTAAAATATTTTAAGTCCTGCACATAAATCATACTTAAAATATTATTCTCAAATTATGCTGTGGGTAGGAAGCACGCTAAAGGAAAAAAACAAAGCTTCTTTCTTTAAGTTTCCTTGTTGGTATTTATAAAGGCACCTGATGCATCAGGCTGCATTTATGCTTTTAAACCTTTAATAATGTTCCTGACCATTTTGCCATTACGGCTATATCCTGCCCTCTGAATGTTAGTCTATGATTGCGCAAAACAGAAGTTTTTGCACTCACTTTGTGTTTACCTGCCAGACAAGTGCAATGTCTTGGATTAACTCTAATCTGTCAGTTTCATAATGGCAAGCTATTTACACGCATTTTACCTTGGGATAAAGTTGTTATATTTCTGGGCATGCTGGGTCGTCCTTTTCCTGCCCAGCCATATGCTCCTACACTCACGCGATGTGGAGTTCCTGGCTTTAAATTACCAATAACAACTTCCTGTCAGATGCAAAAGAAAAGAAGACACAAAAGGTTAACAAATCAGCTTCATAGAACTGAAAATGACATTGTGTACTGTGCTGCTGGAATCATACGTGGTATTTTCCATGTAGGCCCCACAGAGAATTGCACCAGTGTCAGTTCGGTCCAGAAACAAAAAAAACCCAATGAGATCACATGCTTCTTGTCAAGCTGTAGCTTTACCCCAGAGGACTCCACAGAACTGACCTGGACCCAATTCTCAGCATAATTTAGAAGATGGTAGAAAGCTTTTATACAACTCAAATACTTGTACTGCTGAAAACTAAGTCACATACTTTCCCTCCTTGAGCCAAATGCTGGCACTCATTATCTATTTTTTTTAATTCAGGAACTAGATGCTTCTGAGAAAAAAGTAAACTTGCAGCAGTGCAAACTAATGATATTTTTCCTCTCTCAGACTAAGAAGCAAAAGTAGCAGACATCCTCTATAACTTTTCCTGTACATGGCCCTGCTAATGCTATCAATCTTGACCTGAAATGAGTCCTTTCCACTCCCTCCCTTCTTGTGGGAAAGCAAAGGCATATTCATCTTTCTGCCATGATCACAGGATAGATTAACACAAAGGCCAATGCTGAACTATGCATAGGATAATCTTGTTACATGGCATGTTGTTTAAGGTGTACTTGTAACCGGTTCCAGAGATGATAGAGTACCATACAAAAACATGTGTGATGCAGACAGCTGTAACTATTCAGATCTGGTGGTTTTATTCAGCCTAATACTAATGCTCCTCTGTATGTTATTGTAATATTGCATGTAAATATATATATGAAGAGCTAGAATTGACAGTATATGAATGCTTTAAGCATATAGAAATAGTATTCTGCGCTACAAATTATTTGGTGTAAGAAATACAGTGCACATGAAGATATGCTCTTTTGACGAATCATTCAACATGGTTTTTACCCAATTCTCATTCTGGAATATTTAAAATATTACTCATACTTTAGAGCGCTTCTTTCCCCGAAAGTTGAGAGTGACTTGAAATAGCATTTCCAGGTGCAGTAAGCTAGTGAAAGATGCAAGTACTTTATTATAGCCTCACTTTGACAAGTCTCACAATGACCAATCTTTCTAATAATCTCTCAGACTTTTCTTTTAGGAAAGTAGAGGACTAGTCTGATAGCTGTCTCTAGGTGTAGTCTTGCAATGAACTGGGAGGAGGAACCCTATGGGCTAAAAATCCACACAAAAATCTTAGGGACCAGAAAAAGGAGTTTTTTTTCACATATTTTCTCAGGTACAAGAGGCACCTTTCCCCAAAAAATCACCACCACCCCCTGAAATTGGGGTGCGTACATTAAGAGAGAAAGCTCATTTTCTGCCTGGGATAGAAAAACCCTGCTTTTCATTCCTGCTTCACAGCACAGCAACAGTTATATTACTATTCAGGCAGCTGAGGGAGTCCATTGACTTAACAGCTCATTAGTCTTCACACCAGAGGTGTTGTTAACCACTGCCCCTCCTTTTTAAATGTCTTGATGTTCCACTAATCAAGCTAACCTTTCTTAGGGCAATTTGGCTGTCAGTAAGCTGTTTTTGGTCTCTCTTCTCCTATTTCACAGCCTCAGAGATTCTTTAGCTCTTTTCTAAATCAGAGATCCACTCATGGAAACCAGTCTTCAGAAGCATCTAAAGTTTCAGCTTTAGTCAAGCAGTAAAAGGGAGGATGAGTGACCTGAAGATTAGGATACGTCTCTGCTCTATGCAGCCGTAACTCTAGAAAAATCCATTTTCTCTTCATTCTGCCTTTCAAAAACAAGTTGTATATTATATTCTGTGGTGCGCTGTATGCAAGAAAACATTGTACTTAAAGTACAGCTTAGGTAGAATTTACATGCCTAAGTGCCAGTAAGGAGTCTACCAAAATCTGCAGACACCAAAGATTTGATTAGAAAAGTGACCGGTGTCTAAAGTTCTGTTACTCCACATGCCCAGAACTACTGTTGCCTTGGCACCTGGCTTATGCCTATGAGTATTTGAGATTCACAAACAAGGCATTTCCATACTTACATGGAAATACACATGCTTTGTGTCCAAGGGGTCTGCTCCAGTATACATGCTCATTCAGTTAAGTACTGTACACAGCATGGCAACTGTACCTACTTTCACTCAAAAATACTGGGGTGGTAGTGGTGACATGAGGCACTTTTGACAGAGTAGGTTAGTCATTAGAACAATCTAGCTAGGTAGCGATTTAGGTTTTAGGCCATACTTATCCTGACGAAGTTCAAGTCCACATCTCCCTGAACACAGGAAAATACCCTGACTTCTAGTCTGTAGGCTAGGCTGGAATGGAAAAATCTCTCTCGCTCCTCCGGAACTCAGTGCAACGGGGGCCTTGACTGGAACCCAGTTTACTCTACTTGTGCTTTTGCTATGTGTTATGCATTTTGTACTGTAGCAGTTCTTGTGGCTTTACAATATAAGTTATTCTATCACACAGACACATACTGGGCCTCATTCTGCCATCCTTACAACACTCTAGGACCCACAGTAGCTGAAGTCAATGGAGTCCTATTAGTTTAAAACAGAGAAGAATCAGTCTCAGGGTCTGAAAGACAAATTATGCAAGCTTGACCACAATGTTATTGAAGATTTCTGTTGACTTCTGGATGAGTATAGCAGAAAGCATTTCAGCAAAAATGACTGAGCTCAACAACACTTCCTGGAGATTAATGACCAGCTGGCTGTTGATTAATTCCAGCAAGTTGATTAACTGTCCAAGAAGTGGCCCATCAGAAGTCTCTGTTGTTATAAAATGCATAGGTGGGTCAGACCAGGAACTTCATATCTGAAACCCATTCAAAATACCTTCATGAAAACCCAACCCAACAGTTCTGCTGCTGGATCAGATCCAAATCCTTCTTCTGGTTTAGCCACAAGTAACACTCACAAGAACAGTCATTCTCCCAAACTCTGCAACATTTCCATTAACCCAGACAGTGAAAACCCTCACAAGACCAATTAATCTCATGTGATTTCCATTATTTCTGGACCAAATTATACAAAGTTGCAAATGGTTTCTTGATGTTGACAACAAACCTATTCCCCAGCCTGGATTCGCTTTCAAAACCATATGCCCCAAACCTATACATAACTGAACCTTTTTCCCTTATCCAGCCTCTCAATAACCCTTTAGGTTATTGCTTGTAGGAGAGAAATGATCTACTTACTGGACTCAGCACAGGACTGGAAATAATTCACTTGACTAATTCAGCAGCTGCTATGTCCTAAAGGGTTTTTTGGGGTTTTTTTTCAGATCCATTTTATACAATATCATTTGTACCCTCTCCACCTCCTTCTGAGTTCTTTCTGCCTGTCATCTTTGTATTCCCTTCCTTTGCTCATCCCCTTTGCAGGTTATCTTGGTCCCTTCTCCATCTCTGCTCACTACTGCTGCTTTGCTCTTTACTTTACACTGACTACTTGGCTTTCCCCTTCTAGCTGGCTATTCACTTCTTCTGTGGCCCTCCCTGCCTCACGGCTGAACTGCACTCATTCTTGTACTAAGGATGTCCAAAACAAGGCACCATAAGTGCTTCTGATGCCTAGTGTGAAGATTACCCATCCCTAAAATAGAGATAATTGTGCTTCCTTACCTTCCTGTTTTGAGAATTAGTTAATGTTTGTGGCACTTTTACTACAAAAAGGCCTATGTAGTGCTACATAGAAGCACTACTCAAGATGAATTATGGAGCATTTAGGGAGGACCTAAACATTTAGTCTTATTTTAGTCCACAGAAGCTACATGGTCTTTGGAGGTGCAGTACTTACAAAAATCGCTTGTCCATCAAGTTGACCCTAGAAAAAAAAATGTAATGGAACTTGTTAACAAAACTGCATATTTAAGGCTCACAGCAAATTCTTTTAAGCAAAAGTCAACAAAGCACGATCTGCATAATGTTTCATTTAATACTGTTCTTTGCATAATATTATATTTTTCACCAGTAATTGGTATCCATCCATATTCTCATCACAAGCATATCACCATGATATAACAAATCAGAATACAGGTAGAAAAAGATTAATGATTTTCTGTGGAGTAAAATTCTGTATTGGCAAGCTTGGTCTAGGGGGATGTCTGACTGTTTGACCTTTGGTAGCACAGGTGACAAGAGAGGGATTTCAGTGATGACCCCCCATTTTCCCTAGACAGGGCAAAGAACAACAGACAACAAAGTAACAATTTCTCATGTCAGTAAGGAAGTGTGTGCTGTTCAGTTGTGATGCAACACAGCAGTAAACTGAGACTCACTGCAGTCATACGTATTATCTCCTGAACTGAAACAGTGAAGCTACTTAAGTCAGCAAAGGTTGTTGGTGTGTGTGTGCAGTGCTACATCAAGACACCAACATCATTTCCAATTTGGGTAGTAGTTTTCAGGGCGTGAACATGGCATGTCTCAGTACAGCACTACCTGGCACTACAATCCAGCAATGTAGATATGCCACAAGACTCCTATATCCACCAGGACCATGCTGTCATTGCAGTACTGATTTCTAACTAGTACAGTCTATGGGGAATATCTCTAATTCAGAATGGAACATAAAAAAAGGAAGAGACAGAAAGAGGGCAGGAGGAGATGAATCAGATGAAAAGGAAGGAGAGACAAAGGCAGAGAAAGATAAGGGATAGACTCTCTGGGAAAGAAGGGAACAGACGGAAAAGAAAAGTAAAAGGAGTGGTGAAGGAAAGACAAAATCTTTTCTAAGAATGAAAAATTACAAGCCAACAGAATCCCCTATGGTAGGGGTGGCCAACCTGTAGCACGCATGCTAAAAGCATGTAGCACATGGCAAATCAGGGAGGAGACAAGCAGCACAGCAGCAAATAGGGAAGCAAGCAGAGCAGCAGATGGGACAGGGAACAGAAGCCAGAATAGTAGATCAGGTAGGGGAAGGGGGATCAGAGCAGTGTTTGGGAATGGCACAGGGCTAATTTATTATATGTCTGCCAAAAAGGTTGGCCCCCACTGCCCTATGGAACAGGAACCTGCACATTTGTCATTTATCTGAAGTTATGAAAACTCACATGTAAACTTTGTGCCCACTGAAAATGTGGGCTTAGATCTCATGTGTGCACCAACAACTATGCTGTGAACTGTATGCTTTTCCCTACTGTAGTGTGACACAGACATTCAGAATCCGAACCTGCAGAAAAGTAAAAGGAGGCATGCTACTGTTCTTCCATTTGTTCAGGCACAAGTCATCTCCTGACCTGCTTGTGAAAACATGAATTTAACATTCAAAAGTAACAATTAAATGGAAGTCAGGTAACAGCCAATAAAGTTCACAGTCATTTTAAATTAAAAACTAGTCAGAGAACGTGGAGCATGTTCTAAGTCAACTGTATCAGTGAACTATAATTTGTGCTTTGTCCCAGTGGATTTGAGGTTTTACCCTTTGCATAATTTACACATCCAAAGTAGTTTAAGAGTATCAGGTTCTCACTATAGAAGAGCAACCAGTTCTTAGAAAGCTCCATCCTAAGCTTCTGACCATCTATAAAATCAGATACTCACCATGCTAAGCATCTCCAGATTCAGGGGAACATCATGTGAAAACTGTTTAATTGGTTTATCAGTCTCAACTTCTGAATAAAACACCTTGGGAAGATGGAATAAGGTCAGTTAAGGCACAGATGCAAATTATATAGAATGACATAAAGATAAATAAATTATAGTCACATAACTGGCTGTTCCTGAATATCAATATGATGGTACTAGGTGTTGGGAAATGCATGCCCTGTCCCCTCCACAACCACACAAAGTCTGCATACATGGCTAAACTCTACAGACATAGCAGGGCTTGTCTACTGAGAAACAACACTGCCTTAACACACTCATATCAAACACAGGAATACCCCCATTTTAAACCAAGGCTATCCAACTTTTAAGTGGATGGAGGCCACATGCCCCACAGGCTGCACTAACAGGGACTGTTTCCCCCACCTCCCTGCACTATGAGACAACTCTGCTGCTGCCTCCTGCACCCTCGCTGCTGCACCATGCACCTGGGTGGACATCAGGAAAAACTTCTTCACGGTAAGGGTGGCAAAAAATTGGAATGGGCTTCCAAGGGAGGCGGTGCTCTCCCCTACCTTGGGGGTCTTTAAAAGAAGGCTGGATAGGCATCTGGCTGCGGTCATCTGACCCCAGAACTCTTTCCTGCCTAGGCAGGGGGTCGGACTCGATGATCTGTTGAGGTCTCTTACGACACTAGTATCTATGAATCTATGAACTTCTGGACTGTACAGGAACACAACATTCTGCTGGGATGTATATCATTGCAAAAGTGGTGGCTCTGAGCAGTTTGAAGTTGGCACAGCATGTCGTGCTGGCTAAACATAAAAAAAAATGTGTAATTTTGATACCAATGATGGTATTTTAGGAGGACTGATTGGGACCAAAGAACCAATTGATTTCCTGTCAGGAGAAGGACTTGGAGCACTGGTAAGTGACTGAATGTCAAACAAAGAATGCTAATGTTAGAATGAGGGCTGTAACAGAGCAGTCTGTCCCTTTATGAAGGAACAGTCACCCTTGTTAAGAAAGTCCAGTTTTGGGGCATTTGGGTTAGCAGGGGGCTTTAAGAGAGTAAGCAAGCTGTAAAAGGAACAGGTTGCTGCAAAGAGAGGTCAGACCAAAAGGGGTTCCCATCCTAATGTCCACGATGGGGCAGAGGGATTTTGTTTTATTTGTCCGATTAAAAGACTGAACTTTGCTTTAGAAGGCTGACTGAGTTGCTTCTCAAAGAACAAATTCCCTTGCAAAGCCAGCAGGCTAAGCAACTGGCTTACAAGGACATATAAACACAGGCAAAACTAAAAGATACAAAGGAAGCAGCTGAAATGCTTCTGTAGCAGGGAGGGCTAGTTTAGCTACAGGACAAGCCAAGGTTGGAAAAGGGAAGCTGTACTGAAAACATGAAGAGAAGCTAATCAGAGTGGGGGGGGATGATATTTAAGGCCACACTGAAGCTTTGTGGGAGTTCAGCCAGTTGAGCATTTGTGTAGAAATGCTTACTTATTCTGCGAGTGGCAGCCCTATACTCTTAATCTGTGTTGGAGGTGAATATTTTCCACTCCATGTGTCACTCATATAGCCCACAGATTTGATAAAAGTAGAATGATTTTTGCTCTTTGTGCCTCTTTCATCCATCCAAAGTGGTAAAGCAATATTTACCCGCTCTATTCTACCTCACCTAGGGATCCTTGTAAATTAATTGTAAAATGCTATGAGATTCTGGGAATGGAAAACCACAACAAGCACTTTATTCTTCATGCAATCCTCTTGCATTCAAACAAGTTCCCATCACAGCCTGCTTCTAAAGCATAACTTATTGATTTTTAAAGACTTGGGTTAATCAGTTCTGCTTGCTTTCTACTGAGCTCTTCCTGGTCCAGTACAGTGTTTGTTACTAAGCCTGGGTGCCAAAAGACCCCCTTGATTGTCCTCGTTGTACGTTTTATGGAGTTTACTTGGAACTGAAGAATGAGCCTGAGTTTATATTCAATACTGTAACTATATTCTACACTGCAAACAAAATTAAAGTTTTTCTTACAGTGTATCCTGTGATGGTGCTTGCATGCTGTCTGGGCATTCTCCATTGTACGCTGAAAGCTGTGCAGTTCAGTGAATCCAGCAGTATATCTAGAGGAGGCTCCAGCCTATCTACCTCAAAAGGAAATTGATATTTTGTGAGAAGCTACAGGCAAAAGAAACCGCTCCTCTCAGTAGTGAAGTACAAGGTATATATTTAAGGAATATATACATGTGCTGCCCTTTTCACCAGAAAAAAGTGACAAATAGAAAAAAAAATCCCAATCCATTTATAATTTATACTAAAGGGCCAGATTCTACTATTCTTACTCATGATGAAGAGTCTTTTATCCTGCAAGCTGCTCAGGTGGAGCTAAATCAGTGGGACAGAGTCTGATCCTGGGTTAACTGCTCAAGGCACACAAGTAAGTGAAGACAACAAAGGGGAGGACTTAAAGCAGCAGGTACTCAAGTAGGACTAGTGAGGGGGCATCTGCTGTAACTTTTGATAGACTCTCCTCATCTTACTCATAGAATTCAGCTCATTTCTTTGAATCAGTGTTTGTGGGGAAAGGGGAACCATAGGAGGACCTCAGCCCACAATGGCTTCTCCCATAGGTATGAGGTCTACTAGAAAAATATTAAGTCCCCTTCAGTTCTGAGACCTGTCAAACCGCAGTACATAGCCTTTCTTACTGGTTTGTAATATCATTTTCTAAATCCCACTCCTATGTAACCTAAATGTCTTTTCATGATACTGAGACAGGTGAAGAAACCTAGTAAAGCCATGTCAATTTGGCTCCAGTGGGAAAAAAATCCCTTCATGACCTTAAAAAGAGTCAGATAGACAGATAGACCCCCAACATCCTAAAAAACTCAAAACATTTATTTCCCTGCAGTGCACCAGTTAAACTAACTGTTATTACTGGTACAGACATATGGAAAGAAAATTCCCTGAGAGCCAGGCCCCTAGCTACCTGGGTTAAAGGATTCTTTAGTGTGTTCCGTAATTTTTGTACACGTAACATTTCTTTGATAGTCTTGCCAAAAATAGCTTGCAATTAACTGAGGAAAGCTATTAGCTTTAAAAACAAAGGTACTTTATCTAGCAAAAGAGTAAGGATCATAAGTCAACCACTACTGTAAATTAAATAAGCACTGACAAGAAACTCTATCATCTGGAATTAAACTTAAAAAAAAAACTTGAAGCACTGGATGAGCCTCTCCTGTAATTGTAATCAAAGCTCAGAGCTGGTGTCTAAGCTCAGGAAGCAAAATGAAAGATGTGGGTGTTTGTGTGCACAAGCTTGCGCCAAGCAATGACCTCCACTTAGTTGGAGAAACAGCATATATAGTAAATGTCACTGCCTATGTTGAAGAGTTTAAGCCATCCTCCATAAAACCTTAATATAAAATACCGTGACCCAATGCCCCAAACTGCAAACTTGCAGGCAACATTTCCCTTAATATTATCAGAAGTTTTAACTGAGTATCAGCTATGGGATTGGAAATTTTTAAACACACTGTGGGCATGTCTACACATGTGCTTTAATGCACATTAGCCTATTTTAATGCACATTAAAGCATCACAAAAAAACTCATGTGCTTTTGCTAATGCACATTAAAATAGGCTAATCGACCTACTTCTAGTACCTCACAATGGGCATACTAAATTTAATTCACATTAGCAAAAGTGCATTAATGAACATGTAAACGTGCCCAGTGGGTGCATCTACACATACAATTAAGGTGAAGAAATAAATTCCAGAGCACTTTGAGCCAGAGTGAACTGCTCCCGGGTGCAGCATTTACAAGTGTACCCAGGACAACAGCAATTTGAGCTGGGGCAGAGCATGCCTGAGCTGGCAGGCGGTGCAGGGGGTCAGCCCCAAGCTCTAGGTGGCAGCGTTGGGTTGCAGAGGCATTGGCCAGTGCACGAGGGTGCAAAAACTGTGGAGCCATGTGGCTAGGCAGCGGCACCAAGAATCTGGCCCCTGCCAGTCACCATCTACATGTGCATTTTAGTGTAGTTAAGTACTCTGCCCTAAAATAGTACTGTCCCCAACAGTACTATCTTACGGCAAAGATGATTAGTTTACTGCGCCCTTATACTGGCACACAGGTAGACCGTGATACCTTATTGTGGAGCTAATTAGTCAACTCCACAGTAAAGTGCATGTGTAGATCCACCCAGTTTGTAGGTAGCCACCAATGTTCTTGAAATATGAACCACATATGGTAAAGACCCTTCATAAGCAACTGGAACAAAGAACTGATGAACATTTCCTGATTAAAAATAACTTTAATGGCAACTTTCATTTCTTCCATGGCAGCTGTTTTATTACATTTAATGTTTTCCAGTACTTTATCTACCAGTAATGAAAGGAAAGGCTGAGAAAATCTGATTTTTCAACAAGTTCTAACAAAATACCAAGTGAAATAAAGTTACTTTAAAGGTCATTTTCAGATATGAGACAGGCCTAAATCAGATTTACACTTGTCATTTCCACCATCATATTTGATTTGAAGATAAATACAAAACTTAACACCTTACAAACACTCACCAGTATTGACCAGCAACAATAGTTTAAAAGAGTAGGTAAGAGTCAAGTAGTTCAGAACAGTAGATCTGACAGTAAGAATTTATTCTGATTTATTGAACAATCAGGAAACTTCCTGTTTTATATGTTTTCTTTCCAATAACTAGGCAGTTGGTGTGCTAAGGCCACTGCCTGTGATAAACATAAATGTTTTGCTGTTTTCCTTGTCTTCTAGCCCATCTATTTATCTCAGGGGCAGGCAAAATACATCCTGCGGGCCACATCCAGCACTTGCAATGAACTGTGCCCTGCCCAACTCTTCCACCTACAAGGGTGAGAGCAAGTTGCCCATGTATACAGCCTCGCCTCCCCTCCAACATACCCTACTGTGCCTCACTTCCACCCTCATGGGTGGAAAGGCCTAGGGTGACCAGCAGCAGCTTCTAGGTGGGGCTGCTGCTGTAGGCTTCCCCAGTGTCCCGCTCACTCTGGGCAGCAGGTAAGGGATTTGTAGGGGTGGGGGCAGTGCTGCAGCTGGGTGGGAGTGTGGAGCATGGGGCTGGTGGCAGCGCAGAGTCCATGCCCAGAAGGGCAGTGGCAGTGTGGATCTCTGCTGGGCAGCGTGTGGGTATGAGGTAGGGTAGAGGGGTGTGGGGACCTCACACTTTTTTTATAGTGCACAGCCCCAGCAGGCAGCAGTGCCAGCAGCAGCAGCAGGCAGGGGTACAGCAGGTGCTCATGCAGTGCTGCACATTGCGGCAAGAAGCGCAGCTCCCCTCCTGGCCATCTGTATTGCTGGCACTCCCTGCACTCACAGAGCATGGAAAGGAAGCCCCATGCGCTGGAGCTGGCTCCAGCGCCTGGGGCTTCCCTCCCAAGCCACATGAGCACAGGGAGCACCAGCGATACAGATGGCCCAGCAGGGACCTGTGATCCTCGCTGCAATATGCAGCGCTGGCTGGAGCCAGGCACCAGCACCCTGAGTGCCCACCGCCTGCGGCTGCACCATGAGGGGAGTGCAGGGGTCCCCACACCCCTCCCACCCTCCCTCCCACCCCGCAAACACTACACACACACCCTACCTCCACAACCCCACACATATACACAGCCCCCAACATACTCTATGCCCCCACACACAGCTACACCGCTTCACAAACCCCCCACACACACCCTACACCCCAGCATACACATACCCCTGACCTATCACCACACCCCCCTGCACCCTACACACATACACCTCCCGCACCCTACACACACCCCCACCATACACACACCCCCAACTACACCCCCACACAATATAAAAACTAAGAATTTATTTTGAGTTATTACGCAAGCACCACAAATCATGACAAATATGACTTTCATGACTTTCATCTGGGCCAGGCCCAGGCTGAGAATCAGTACATTACAACCAAGCTACTAATTGCCCCCTTTGTTATAGCCAATAGGAGAGTTGGATGCAGCAGAAAAATCTCTCCCCTCTACTTTGCCAGGGTCATTCTTCTGTCATGCATTCAGGATAGGCATATATTAGAATACTGAACACCATGAAGATTTGGGATAAGTTATAACCCTTGGAAACAGTAATGCTATCTATGTACTTTGTATTTAGAAAGTGCATTACTAAGCCCCACAATACCAAGATGATAGACAAGTGTTAGTACTAGGCAAATAATGAAGGAAAAAAAAACATGCCCTGAATATCCCTTAGAAGTTCTAAAGCAATTCTCATTGAACATATGCGCATCCTTCTTGCATTTACTTTCAATGGACATTCTACCAAACAGTTTTGCCACGAGGAATGGTTGTGGAAAGGGCACACTTTATGCAAGTTTAAAGAATATCCCTATAAAGTGGATTTCAAATTCATAACTGAAAATGTGCTTCAGACCAATAAAATTATTTGCAGAAGTTATTTGGTGAATAATTTGGAATAACAAATACATCTGGAAAAAAAATCATGATCCATTTGAAGACTATCTGCAAACACAGAGAAGCAACATCTGTTTAATAAAAGATCCACCATGAATTATTCACCCAGACCCACTAAGCATTATCTCCAGTTTCCAGATGATGAAACACAGGGAGCCAAATACTGCAGTTAGACCAGCCTAAAGCTACAATCCACAGAGTAACTCCTGATTTACACCAGTGAAAATAAGAGCAGGGCTGGACTTGAGTGATAAATGCCCCTTTTCTCCATATTTATTTCCTGTTCAGCCTCCCAGAACTGGAGAAGTCTCTGATAACTGCCTTTACCAATGACAGAGACAATCATGGACATATGAGTCCTTCCACTTATATGATTTAATAGGATCCTGCCCCCAATGGCATGGAAAACTGGGGCGTTCTCTGGCATACTCCCCATTTTTCCACGGGATTCTTCCCTGCCCAGTGAAACCACAAGATAAGCAGACATGTTAACGCTGGCTGACTCAGTGT